ATTCGATAATGAACTGGCAAAGGAGTTAAATAAGTTCTGTCTGAGGTTTGACACAGTTTTAATTATGAACTCCCTAAGTTCCCTTGTTATGGATATGGGGCGTGAGATACAAATCAAAGAAACCATGGTATTTAAATCTTTCAGGCTTATTAAGGAGAAGAAAACTCTTGGTCCTGACTTTACTGGGGTCAAACTGTTGCTGTTCTAGACAAGTGTTATATTTTTCACATATCTTTCACTCTTTCTTTAAAAAATGCAGAAGGTACCTAGACTTTGGAAGGAATGTATTGTATTGTATTGTTCCTTCTATCATTAAAGTGGACTGTGACTGCAGTCCAGCAGTACAATTACTGGGACCTGTACTGGGTCAATGCTTTACCTTTAATATCAATATGTAGTTTCTTTATAAAAAGCAAATCAAAGATCTACTCGAGGAAGTTTAGAAGATCAGTTCTGACATTTGCCATGATCTGATGGTCCAGCCCCTCTCCTCTCCTCTTCTCTCCTCTCTTCTGCTCTACTCTACATATGCATTGCCTGACTGTCATTACTGCATCAGTTATGTTTGTAGAGATGCGGCTATAGCTCATTAACCACAGTCACTGAAGTCAGTTTGTGAATGTGTGTCTTTTGCCATGATACCTTGTCTGGGTGATTAATAGTACTTGCCTGCACTAGCTTTTGATATGAGTTTTCTTTTGTCAGACACATGACCTCAATTACCATGAACAGCAAGAAAGCCACTGCTCTGTTCATGTTCATGTAACGATTTATTACATTGAGGAAATTTAAAAGACCTTAAAAATCTCTAACTGACCCCTCTGGCTGAAGTCTGGAAATATTTAAATCACATCAAATGGACTGGTAATCTCACTAGTTGGGACATTCAGCATTTCCATGTTTTTTTTCTTACACTTCTAATGTTAACTCAGGTTTTGCTAATACCTTTGGTTCATACTATCTGCACCTCCTCAGGACAAGTCCTTAGAGTCATGGAAAATATTTTTCAATATTGCTCTGTACTGAGGGAGCAAACATTGAGTGTCAGAGTTTAAGGATTAGCATTAATTGACTTGGGTTCTGATCAATCATGAGCAAGCAGGCCTTACCTTTTCCATAATCTGAAATGCGAGTGTTTAATTTAATGATTGTCTTGTTTGTTTTATGAGCAAGTCCTACAGCGATCAGCCTCTCAGACTTAGTTTTGTTTATAACACTGCCTCCACTCTCTACGGGAACATTTTGCATTGACCATATGCAGCTAACTGTGGGATTGTTTTGAACGGAATATGCTACTCACCAAGCTGATTGTAATTTATAAAGGGAATTAGTTTGGAAGTGTGCATTTTACTGTATAAGTCTGAATATGTTTTTGGTATATGCCATTTTTCTGTTTTGTGCACATGTATAATTTTGGTATGCATTCTACACACAGTTTTATAAATGAGGCCCCAAGTGTGGACCAGGTGGGACAACATGTGAGAGCTGGTCAACCTACTGACAACAAATTTCCAGGCTGCTTTCTGTTACTAGTCATAGGGGAGACTAAAGGAGAGTTTTACCTTTTCATCTATAGTTTTTTTTTCCTCCAAAATATTTAATTTCACAAAATGTGCTTCAGGAATTATGTCCAAGTGAAGTTCTTAAAGTGGAGACAATATCATACCTGCCTCTCAAGGTTATGTGGTATGTAAAGAAAATG